TCCCATTAAAGATTTAGTACACACTCTGAGCAGGGAGAAGGTCTTTGAAGCATATTTCTCCACTAAATGAGATGCAGATTCACATCCCTGCATGGAGGTTCTTTCAGGTTGTTGCTGAGCAGACTGACCCACTTAGTTTTAAAGGATCTTTTCAGGAAACCTGAGATGGCAGACATGAAGGGCAGACATGCTCCAAGGACTAGGGGTAGGGAGCATTATGATTTCACGGTGAAGTGGACAGAAAATACAAGATACCTGGATGGTGTTAACTTATGAAAAGGTTTAGTGTTTCTCCCATCGGGAGCCCTTTCATAGTTTTATTTTCTTTCATACTTTTATTTTGTTTTGCGGTGTGGTCTCACTCTGGAGGCCAGGCTGACTTTCAATGCATGGTTTTAATCCTCCTGCCTCAACCTACCAGGGTTCTGGGATTACAAGCATGCACCACCACACCAGGCTTATATGTTACCTTAAAGAGGTGCAGCAAGGCAGAAATGTTTTTTAGCTTGTATCAGACTAGACCTCCATTCATCTTGTTCTCTACACCTTCTGTTCACTGATTCTGACCCCTTTTATCCATCACTTCCCCAACTTGATCACCAGCACCCCAGCACCCTTTCCCCCACAACAGGTGTAAACCCTGCTTGTATTTTCCCTACTTCAGAAAAAATTATTTTCTGCCTCTGCTCTTGAATTCCATGCTCTGCCTTTTCAGCCTATGAAGTGGTTCTTGGAGCATAGATGAGCTTGGGAAATATCTGCAGAACACATGGCTGAACCCCATCTCCTCCTCTTTAATAGACTCCCCCATGGTGCCTAGTGCTGCCCTCCAGTCCTCCCCAGGCTCTCTATCCTGCACCCGGCTGCGTGGTACTGTGCTCCCAAAGTTTACAGCTGAATCTGCCCTCCCTGTGCTTGCACCCCTGCCCTTCTCTCCCTTGACTGTGTCCCCCAGTCTCCTTCCATGTTAGTTCATTGTTTTGGGAATGAGAATGCCCTGCCTTCTTCATTTATTTATTTTTTAAGCAACACTCTCATTTCTCTCCCCTTTCGTATTCCACCCAAGTAAGCGCATGCTTTTCCGAGCTCTCTGGGGCTCCTTTCTGCTAGCAAGCCCAGCTCTATCCCTGGCTGCACGGAGAGTGCCTGTAAGGGCATCCCCAAATACACACAGCCAGTGTCGACCTCACATCTGAGTCCTGATTCTGCATTCTAGATACTTCCCAGATGTCTTCATGGGGTTTCTAGTAAAATACATTCTCTAACTGTTTTTTTTTTTTTTTTTTTTGTGGAACCAGGGATTGAACTCAGGGCCTTGCGCTTGCCAAGCAAGTGCTTATTCTACTGAGCCATCTTCCCGGCCCCAAAATAAAAAATAGAATTTATTCTGAATTTCCAAGCAGTTCATTATCTTACCTTTCAACCAAATTTCTTTTCTTTTTAAAAAAATTTCATGTATTTATTTATTTATTTTTATTTGTTGTAACATGCTCTCACTATGCAGTTTAGACTTATAGTGTTCCTCCTGTCTCAGCCTCCTCAGTGCTCTACCATGCCTTGTTTTGGGGCCAGCATGGTGCTTCTGGGGTTCTGGGGCTGGCACAGCATGCAGTTCTGGGAATCAAACTCAGGAGCTTGCCCTTAGCAGGCAGGTTCTTAGACCACCAAGCTATCTTTCCAGCCCCCAAATTTATGATGTCACTATTTCCACCCAACACCCCCCATCCTCACAGTTAGTGCGTTTCTGCGTGTTGGCATCATCTGTGAGCCTTGCTTGAACCTAGCTGCTCAAGCTGAGCCTTACTGTACTTTACTTTGTTTGTTTTTGCTTTACTGGGGGTTGAACTCAGGACTTTATGCTTGCCAGCCAAGTGCTTATTCTACTGAGCTATCTCACCTCTGGTTGGAAGGTCAGTTTCCGGAGGGGGAGGCTGGCTTGACTCCTCCTAAGTGTTAGCCTGCATCTACCTCAGTGCCATGTAGATAATAAAAAGCCATGGTGTGAGCAGCGGACCCCTGCTCTTCTCTCCCAGAAATGGCCCTGTCGGTCTGATTCCTGCTGTGTCCCCTGTGTGCTCTGCTCTCAGAAGACACAGAGTCTCCCAGGTGGAGTGAACTTCAGCATAGGCCTCAATAGTCCCATCCTTCCCGCCTCTTAGAACGAAGTAGAGGCTGTCAGAGCCAGGACCGTAGTGCTAGATTGGCGTCCTCGTCCTCCAGCAACTTCAGAGAGATGTGGGAAACCCCTGAAAGCACCCCCAGTCTCTGGCCTTTGTAGGAGCTTCTGGAAGTGCAGAGTCTGACATCACCATCAGGGCCAAGCTGCCAAATGCCCAGCTTTGAGCACCTGGCCAAATGGGACATGTTACATCTGTTCTCTTTTTCTCCCACTATTTATCTTCACTCTACTCTCACAACTGCCTGCCTGCCTTCAGGACTGGCTCTCTCGTGCCATTCTCCTCTGCTCTTAGCTCCTAACCACCCTCCTCTGCTCTTTGGCAGTCCTGGGACCTCTCTCTCACCCTGGGCAAGACATCTTCCTGAGCTCCCTCTGCCGCCTGCCCGCTGCACGGCTCACTGGGACTGTGTACCAGGGACAGTTTGTAAGGCTGTGCCAGCTGGGCTGCAGAATCTCTAGGCACTTATTCTGTGCCTACCCTGGCTCCCTGCTACTGTCCTCTGTGCCTGTCTTTTTCCTGCTGTCAAAAAAATTATAAGTGAGCAAAGTTATTTAGGTAAAGGTTGAGAGGTGGGTATAATAAAAACGTTATTAGTTGCCCTGAGAAAGTATAATAAAGGGAGTTTATGAGGTATGACAGCTTTGAAAGGTTAATGAACTATTTGGTATTTTCTGAAACGGTGCTGGTACCAGGGTCTTTCTCATGGGGAGTGGGGATCCAGCTCCCTTTCCTTACCTGAGTCCTGCCTTTCGTCCTGCCTTTCTGTTCTTCCACTTTCCTTATGAATGCCACATTTGAACCCTTTTGTCGTGGAGACTGAGTCTATTTTCCCTCTCCCCTGAGTGCTCTGTTTAGAACTTTCTTGGACAGCAGGAAGCCTCCCCCCCCCCAGAAGAGTAAGAAGTGCCAAAATACAGAGCCTGGATTTAAAGCCTGCTCTGATGCAACGGAATGATGCAGGTCAACAATACATTGCAGTTTTCATTGGAGATCTTGACTTCTTAGACGAGACAAACTTTGAGTATAAACATCTAGCCATGTTTATATATTGGAGCCTGGCCAAGCACGGATTCCTGCTGGGAGCCCCGTGTCATCTACCAACACCACTGGCTGGTTCAAGACGTCAGCTAGGACAACTTGGGGCCACAGTAACCCCAAGTGTGTCCACCTGGGACCTTCAGATCTGAAAGTCGTTCCATTAGGACTCTCCTAAGCACACTCCACCTTCACTTGGTTTCAGGGTTGATGGCCCGAGTGGCTGTGTTTCAGGAGCACAGGGACTAGACTGTAACATGACCCTTGGGGCCAGTTGTAAACAAGGGTCATTTAAGTAGCTTCCCTAGTATCACACTACCTGTGAGGATTATCTTCTCTTAAGCTGGTGTGAATCTCAAGGCAGCCATATAAGTAAATAATAGGCTGGCTGGAGATAGCAGTTAACCTCCATTGAACTCCTATTATGTGGCAGGTGCCAGGGGCGGCACTTGTCATCACTAGCCTGCCTGGCTTCACAGTATTCCTAGATAGTAAGTATTTGTCTTCCCATTTTGCAGATGAGGACAGTGAGTCTTCAAGGAATTAAGAATTTGTCCAAGTTACACAGCCAGTGAGTGACAGGGCTAGGACTTGAACACAATTCAGCGTGACCCTAAAATGATGCTTTTTGATGCACCCGTGAAGGCTGTAACGATTGGGGGAATGCCAAACCTTTGAACACCTGTGTAATTCTGGGTTACAAGGAGACTCTTGGATTTAAGCTCGCGAGGTTGTGCTATCCTCTTACCCTGCAGGGTAATGCGTACTACAAATGCTTCTCGTCCATTTTATCGCTTTCAGTTGCAAAGTGAGCATGAGCGAAAACCATACGCGTGAAGAAAACCAAAGTGGGCGCGAGCAAAATCCAACACGGAGGAATACTGAAGCCACCGCTCACTGCTGTCCCTGCCGCTGGTTCCTGTGAACATTGCTTGATCCTGAGATTAGAAATGCTTTGCCTCTCTTCTTTTTTTATTAATTGTATTGACAAACAAATAGCAGTGAGTTTCAAAACCGATTCGTAGGATAGTTTCAATAATTGATACATTGCATATTGTTGTCTTCGTAGTGGTTCTTCATAGTACAAGATGCAGACATGATATCCTGTCCAAACACTATTAGTACAAGTCTTTCTTCTCATTGAATTAAGAGAAAGTAGCTGTATATCTCTCCTAACTCTTCTGTATATACAGATACACAATGGTCCTTCATTTGTACCCCCTTTGTTTGTTTCGTTTTGTCAGAGATGGGTATTCCATTGCTATTTAAATATTGTAGGTATGTGAATTCAGCAAAATATTCCAATATAGTCCAGTAGTCCATAATAGTAGTGGGTTATCAGCAGAACTGGCAATGTCAGAAGTTGTTGACTTGAGCCTTTTATAGCTCAGCATATTAATATGGCTTTACTTTTTATACCTCATTTTTATACTTTTCTGCTGGATGGCTAAGACCAAGATAAAGCAAGACCTATATAACAAGAAATGTTAACTTTTGTATCTGATAAGGTCCATCAAGTAGCCCTGTACTGCAGTTTGCAGATCCTTTGTCAGTGTCAGCCATGTGGATGAGTCACGGCCATTGCTTGGCCAATGTGCTCTCCATGAAAGCCTGAGAGAATGTTTTCTCTCCATGTGACTCTCCTAAGGCACACTCTCCATCAGCGATCACTGTCCTCTGTGGCTTTCCCTCATTTAATCCCCCACCCAAAGACCCTTTATGACTGGGAAGCAGAATTCCACAAAGGAAGGTATTGGTTCAAGTCCAATCTTGTTTTGTTTGCAGAGAACGGCAAGTCGGTCCATTGGAGACTGGGCGCTGACAAGGAGGTGTGGGTCTGGGTGATGGGAGAGCACCACCTGGATAAGCCCTACGATGTGCTCTGCAGTGAGATCACTGCGGAGAGGGAACAGCTGAGCGCAGTGAAGGAGGCGGAGGCTCGAAGGTAGGAGACTGCCCGCCAGGGGTGCTTGAACTCCCGCACAGCGATGCCTCTGCTCACAGTATCTGCAGGAAGAACAGGGTGGGACTGAAGGGCTGTGGGAATCATTTTAGGTCTCTCTGCAGAGTTTCTTAACATTTTCTTTTTCAAAAAAAAAAATATTTAAGACAGAGTCTCACTGTGTAGATGGGACTCGTAGTGATTCTCTTGTTTTCAGCCTGCCAAGCGCTGGGATTACTGGCGTGTGCCACCATGCCCAGTCTCAATCGCCCATAATAGTAGTGGGTTATCAGCAGAACTGGCCCTCTGAGAGTGGGGCCAGCATGGCATGTCGGGGATCAAACCCTGGTTGCCGCACTCTGCCTAAGCAGGTGCTTTAGTCTGCTGAGCTATTTGGCCAGCCCCAGATTCTTAACATTTTCAGTGCTTCCCTTAGTTCCCATAATGCTTTCGAGTCAGCTGGCTCCTCTGCCACCGTCATCCCATTGCTAACCTGCACAAATATGCAGCTATGGCAAGCAGTTTAGGCACACAGTGAGACACCAGGAACTACAACGATTCCCCGAGCTGCAGGCCTCCAAAGAAGATGTCTTAGATTCAGGCCCCTGAATATACTCACTCTTAGAGCTGGGAATTCAAAGAGGAATAGGGAGATTCTTGTCTAGGAGGAGAAACAGGAAGATGCAGAACCAGCTGCATTGTATGCAGACTGTGTTGTGAGCTGTGGTTAAGATATAGGCAGAGAAAGGACCAAGGCTAGGTAGGCATCTGTCATCCCTATCCTTGCAAGAGGTGAGCTTTAATCTAAGCCTTGAAGACTAAGCTGAGCTTCTAGCTACAGAAGGCCAAGGTGGTCAGTACGGCACAATTAAGACCCCTGAATTTGTGGGATAATGGTGAGTTCTTTGGAGTGTTTAGAGTGTATGTGGGCAAGTGGTTGGAGACCAAAGGCCACGCTGTGTGACTGCACCCCAAGTACCTGGATGTAGGGGTCAGGACTTTCCGTGGGCAGTGATGTTCTGAAAGGAACATGATATAATCAGCTGTGCAGATAAGAAGGTGACCTGGAGGGCACACTGTGGCATGCAGTGCTACCAGGTTGGCTTCTGCCAAGTCATATTCCCTTGGGTCCTCCTCTGCCCCAGGGCAGGGGTGAGATGGAAATTGGAAAAAACATGAAGATCTCAGTTGAGTCCCCAAGGGCTGGTGGTGCTTCCCCCAACTCTTGTGATGCTAAAACTATAAATGTACATTCAAAGATCATGGGGGTAGTTGCTGCTGATCACTGGAAGGCAACAGACTCTAGCAGCCTAGTTTCTGAACCAGGAGTTGGGGAGACATGGGTTCAAGTCCTGGCTGTGCCCTGAAAAGCATCAGATAAAGTATAAGATTATTTATTATTTTTAGCCCCTTTACAAAGAAAATATAACTAAGATTTCCTGGTAGGCTAGTGGGAAGATTTAATTCCTGTCTTTAAAGCGCCTAACAAAGAGCCTGGTAGGTTATTAACACTCTGACCAGCAATCTATTACTGGCTTTCACATGGTATAAAAGTATGCATTTGCTATGGAAAAGCTGCCCATGCTGAAAAAATGTTTTTGCTTATTTCATTCTTATTTCTCCTCAGAAAAAGTCAGTCTGATGAATTCACCCATATCTTGAAAACAAAATCACAAAACTACAACCTGTCAGCACCAAATAACATGTGCAAGAGAGCAGCAGAAAAGGAGGAAGCGAGGCAGACACTCAGGCCGGCACCAGCCCTCGAAGGAGAGAAAACCACAGTGAGTCTTGCATACCTGCGAATGTGCCGAATTCTGCAGCTGGGGGAGATGAGGCTGTTGGAGACAATAGGCAACTGTGAGCACGCTCAGGACCTTCAGCGAGATTTCCTGGGAGGAGTATCTCCTACCTCTAAGGTCCTGCCGAGCATTTCATTTTGGCAGAATTGGCTCACCTGTGTCATGCAAACGCTAGAGCTCCCCTCTTTTATGAGACAGAACATGCTAAGAGCTGAAGGAATACAATTTGGTATTTAAAGATTTGATTTTTTTTTTCTCATTAAATGTCTTGTAAAGCAGAGGTCAACACATGTTTTCCTTTTTTTTTTTTTTTTTTTTTTTTTTTTTTTTTTTTTTTTTAAGGTACCAGGGATTGAACTCAGGACCTTGCACTTGCCAGCCAAGTGCTTATTCTACTGGCCCCTAACCCATGTTTTTCTGTAGAAAGCAAAAGTAAACAGTGTAGGCTTTATGAATGCAAATGGGTGAGCACAGCTGTGTTCCCATGAACTCTAACTTTGGCAGCCAATCACCGGGCTGGACTTGACATATTTGTGATTTGCATTCTGTTTTATCAGGCTCTCCTGCCCTCTCTGTTTTGCAGATTCAAGCCATCAGTGTCCCTTTGGCCTCATGGATTCTGCCTGTGATTGGGAGGGACGGTTATTTTTTCCAACACAACAGAATTCCGTACTCTGAACTATTACAAATTCTCTTAGGGTCCAGGTGAATCAGAAAGCTCACACATAATTTGCTGCTAGGATTATAGCTTGAAAGAACAACAAAATTCTATTATGAAGTGCCTTTTCTGCCCGGAATTTAATTACGCTGTGAATTAACAGGGGATTTGCCGTTGTTTGACTTCAACCTTACCACGCTGATTATGTGTGCTCTTGGAGTCCTGGAGGCTGTCAGAGGGGGTGCAGTTATCTGGCCTGACTACTTTTGGGGGGCTGGTAGTGTTCTTATAATTAGCATGGCTCCAGAGCTGCGGTGTGGGAAGGCAGACACGGACTGGCGAGAGTCCTATTCACTGCTCCCCGCAATGCTGATTCTTGATTTTTTCATTAATATGAGAAATGGAAAGCAGCATCATGAAGGGCCACAGATAGGTTCAAATACTTCGCACAACATTCTAAACTTTGTTTTGCATCCTAAAGTCAGCTCTGAGGACTTCCTTTTCAGGCTTGTAAGGCACCAGAGCTTGCAGGCCCAGTGTATACGCTGCATGTTAGTGCCCCTCCCACACAGCTCCCTTTCTAACAGCTTAAAAAGAAAAACAACAGCAACTGCAAAAATCCTCCTTCAAGAGCATTAGAAATGTATGCTTATCTTGGTGCTTGAATTACAGTGTTTTCTAGTATATTTTTCAAAAGTAGGGCAAAAGATTAAAATGGAAACCAGGACCTATGGTTATCATCCAAGTGCAATGTAAATCTTGCAGAAAGAGTGATGTTGTTCTAGTCCTTTTTTTTGGTACCAGAGATCGAATTCAGGACCTTGTACTAGCCAGGCAGGTGTTTATGCCCCTGAGCTGTCTCCCCGGTGTGTTGCTCTGTTCCTTACGGGCCTATTTAAGGCCAAATTGGAAGAGTTAGGGGCAGGGGAGACAGAAAGCTGTAGGAACAAAGAATACGGAAATAAATGGGTGAAGCGTTTTTGCATTTCTGCTCTTCATCTCTCCTTGTGTTGGAGACCTGCCACCATCACACCTGATGCTCGCTGAAGTTTTCTTCAACAGCACCATGCCGAGGGAGGCTGGCGGTCCTCCCAGCTATGCAGGCATTCAGGTGGCAGGCCCTCTTCTCTCTTGTGTACCATCACTTAATGCTGGATTTCTGAATTCATTTAAAGTCCCACATTACTATAGGAGGTTGGATTCTGTCCCCAGAATTTCATGTCTACCCATAACCTCAGAATGTGTACTTATTTGGAAACAGTTCTTTGCAGATGTAATCAAGGGTCTCAAGATGAGGTCATCCTGGGTTTTGGGTGGACTCTAAGTCTGATGATAGCTGTCCTGAGAAGAGAAAGGCTCACACAGATTTGAGAGACAAAAATGCAGGCAGGGGTCAAGGGGAGACAGAGAAAGAACCATCCTGCTCTTGGTGGTCGTGTTGGATTGAAGCCTAATTTGTACGTGTTTGTAAAGCACAAACAATTTAATTTAGAGTGTGCCCAGATTTTTCTCTCACAGTTTATTTCATTTCACAATCACTTTACAACACTTCGGTGCCATAAATAGGGCAATATTAGCATTTCTGTCATACAGATGAAGAAACAGGTGTTCAGAGAGATTGCACGACTCACCCCCGAATCGCAGACTGGGAAGTCCTGGTTTTTGCCTATCTACTGTGGTTCATATTCAGCATAATTTTGACATATTTAAATCCAAGCTCATTTTCTTCTCTCAAACCTCCTTCAGATCTGAACTCTGGTGGGAAATCAAAGCTAGAGGCTGAGAGTCATCTGATCTGATTCCAAAATGCGACTCAGGTTCTCAGCAAAGATCTCCAAGTTGCAGCTAACGTTTATATTAATTATGCTGTCTAAAGCATAGTGTCTTTAAAATTCCATTATCATACAAAGCCTGAGATGCACTATAAAAAAGAAAAAATCTCCAAACAAATTTTATTGAGCTTACTGATCGGAATGCTCTTCTACACAGCCATGGAAGGATTAAATGAACCACCAATCTTCTAGGATTATCAGCAACATTCAGGGAAAATCATCTATGGATTTACTAAAGTAGTCTTGTTAGGCTTGTAATAAATTTCTCCATGACAGATCAGCACCAGAAACCATGTCCTGTATTCTAATAAAGTACTCCAGACCTGCATTTCCTACTGGTGTGATCTGGAGCCACCCTAGAGCTTCAAGAGTGACTGAAAGTTAAATCCAACGCAACGCTGATGTGCATTCACCATGGTAGAAGCTTTCATGGGAGAGTCGCTAACTTACAGGATGCTACACACCTAGTTAATCATGGCCTCTGATATTTGAAGCATACGAGTAGACTGAATTTCTTTCTGCCTTAGCAATTTCCAGTGTTTCTCAGCTGTACTCTGATTACCTTATGAAAAGATTGAGGCAAATATGCAGACAGAGTCCTCTTTGGCCTATAAAGTTGATGTGGGCCTCACAGTTTCTTCTGTATTATCCTCCCTCTTTATCCACTAATATTTTGAATGGGATGGGATCTGATTAAAAGAGTGCCAAGGCCAGCTTTATGAGAAGGAAACAGCACATTGACGGAGCTAGCCAAGCCAGGCACCAGGGCCCTGCCTGTAGCCCCAGCTAGTTAGGAGGAGGCTGAAGCAAGAGGATCACAAGTTCAAGGCCAACCTGGGTGACATAGTGAGGACCTGTTTCAACATATAAGTGAATAGGGCTGGGATTCAATAGCCCAGTACTCCTTGCATTCAATCTGTAGTACCACAAAAGGAAAGAAGAAAGAAAACAGAAGAAAGGAAGATAGCCGGAAAGAAAGCATAGCCAGGAGCCAGACATATTAGCTGGTGAAACAGGCAGATTGCGCTGGGTTCTCCTCATGGGGAGCAGGGGGCGACGACAGTGCTTGGGATGAGGAACTTGGCGTTGTGGGTACATGTGGTTCCTTAAAGATCCCCAAAGACTTACATCCACTGACTCCCTTCAGCCTCACGGCAGCTATCGAAAGAATGAGACAGATGTTTTTGTTCTGCAAGTGGGAGAGTCAAGGACAATGTTCTGTGAAATCACAGCTTAGAGATGGAGCTGGAGACCACTCACTTCAGATCGGTGTCTTTCTCTGCCCAGGGAAGATGTCACATCTGTATCTGCATAGTCACCCTGCTGAGAGCAGGATTCCTTTTGGGACTTTTATTCCCACTATAGGCAGGAATGCTGTTGGCCCAGAAGTTCTTTTTTTTTTTTTTTTTTTCCTCAAAGTTTTATTGACAAACAGATAGCAATGAGACAGTTTCAAATCATATCGGAAGGACAGTTTCAACAAATAA